GTTTCAGTCATTTGTTATATTGTAGAATTCATTAGCTGATTCCATTTCTATGTCGTTATCCATTTCATTTTCTGATATTTCATATATGCTATCTTCACTTTCTAATTCATAATCTATGTACTCTATCGGCATATATTTTTCATCGTTTATTATTATTTCTGATATTTGTTTTTCTTTGGATTTTAGGTAATTTACAATCTCTAGCTATGTGTCCTAATTTTCCACAATTATAACAAGTACACTCCGTTAATTTTCTTTTTGGTCTATATGGTCTTTTGATTTTGTAGTTTTTTACATAGTATCTTCTTCTTGGTTTTTTATATTTATATTTTGATATGTATTTTTTATTATATTTCTTTCTATTTTTATAATACCTATCCGTACAACCAAATTGAGGTGTTGTTTTATATTTGCAACATGCCAAGTTTTTTACTAATATTTTTTCCATTTTTATTTCTTCTTTATTTTTTTTCACATAGTTCTATAAACCATCGTTGCAAGAATTTTATTCTAGCTCCTAAGGTATCTGTTAATTCTACTTCATTCCAACTTTTTATTACTTTTGAATTAAAAGGTTCTGGTAATTTTGTAAAATATAATTTTCTTATTTCCTTACTTTCTTCTGTGCTATATGTTCTTTTATAATAGTATTCTCTAAATGCACATGTATATTCATCTATGTAACACATATTACATATTGCTAATTTTGTCATTAGATTCTGATTTATGATTTTTTCTTTATTTTGTTATTCTACCTCTGTTGTCATACTAATGAATTCATTTCTTATAGCTACTTCGTATTTATATAATATTTCCATAGTTGTAGTAGCTAATTCACCATTAGATTTTTTATTACTTCTTAGAGTTTTTAAACTTTCATCTGATAAATTTTGTAGCCATAATTTTACTGTTCCTATAAGTGTTCTTTCTATATATCCTGGTGTTTCCGTCATTACTATTTTGTTATCTATTAATTGTTTTGATATATATCATATCCATAATTGGATTGTTTTATTTATATCTGCTACACAGTCCAAATCTAAAAAATCATGTTGTCCAGTTATTGGTTTAGGCGTCCATCT